CTGCCAAGAAGGTTGGGAAGGTGCTTTCTAGCAATCTCCCTGGGTGCACCCAAAGGTCTCTTTCCTCTCTGTGTTGCTGCGTCAGGGAATTTGCTCTGCAATATTTCTCGCATGCTTTTATTTAAAGATCAAAAGATCCTTTAAAGCTCCTTAAACAGCCTGTTTCCAAAAGAAGTATGCAAAGCCTTGAGGTTGTGGACAAACTTTTCTTTCAAATTAAGGTGTTTTCTGAGGAAGAGCTGGTTGTTTTGATAACCCTCACCTGCACTGTGAAGTGTTCCATTAAAACCAGAAGAGCTGGGCACCAACAGGGTGATCCCCATGGCTTGGGGAGGGCAGGAAGCCTTTGGAAGTGAGGAATGGGTGCCATTGATGTCAGAGGAAGAATTGTGTCCATGCTGTACTGAGGCTGCAGTATGGCATGGGAAACAGCTGAGGAAGGAGGAAAGCAGAGGAATGCAGAGGCTGCTTCCAAGTGCTTTGGCCCATCAGGATCTTGGCCTGAATTTTCTTTGCCTCCCTCCCCTCCTCTCTGAGCACTTCCCCGGGTTGCACAGGGATGGCCTCTGTTATCTTCTGGTCCAATGCTATTTGAAGAGTCTGCGTGAATTATTCGCTGCTTCAGATCCTCAGTGGGAACGAGATGTGGGATGACAGAGAGCTAACTAACCTCCACGTGCCTGGAGGCATCGCGGGGCTGAGGGCTGCCCCCCTGTCTGTGGGATGCCCAGAGAAGATGGAGGGATTTCCATGCTGACTGGGGCAGGTAGCAGCCGGGCTTGGTGCTGGGCACTCGTCCCTCCTCTTCTGACAGCCTGTTCCAGTGTTTCACCACTCTTTTGGGGAATGTTTTTTTCCAACCTCCCCTGGTGTGACTTGAGGCCATTCCCTCTCATCCTATCACTAGTTATGCGGGAGCAGAGGCAGACCCCCATCTTGTCACAACTTCTGTTCAGGGAGTTGTAGAGAGCAGTATGATCTCCTCTGATCCTCCTCTTCTCCAGACCAAATAATCGCAGTTCCTTCAGCCACTCCACGTAAGACCTGTGCTCCAGATCCTTCACAGTTCCACTGTCCTTCTCTGGACTCACTATAAAGCCTCAGTGTCTTTCTTGTAGTGAGGGTCTGAATCCTGAACACAGCTGAGGTGCGGCCTCACAGGGCTGAGTGCAAGGAGACGATCACCTCCTGCTGACTGCACTACTTCTGGTACCAACCAGGATGCCCTTGGCCTTTTCAGCTATTTGGGCACATTGCTAGCTCACATTCAACCCCCCTGATCCAGGGAGGTGGGAAGGGGGTGATGTGACTGAAAGACGTGTTTTATAACTGTCCCTCCAGGTCTCAGCCCACGGCCCAGGAGCAGCTGCAGGTTTGTGTGCTAGGCATTTATGGCACCTCTACCTCCTCTGAAGATAAGGGCATGTTAATCCTTTATTGCCCCCTTTCTTCATTTGAGGCACTGTTTGGAGTAAGAGGGGAAGTTCTCTCCTTACGACAGAGGATTAGTCACCAGCACCCAGCCCTGCAGAGAGGGGCTCCTTCCATCCTGCGAGGTCACCCTGCTGTCTGCGCACCATCCCACCCCTCCTGTTCACGTCCCCTTATATGATCTCACTCTGTGCCCTCCCTGCTCCCGCTGTGCAGGCAAGGAGCTGTGGGGCTGACCCTGCACCCTTGCCTGCCTGGCTCCGCTGCCCAAAGGCATGGCCTCATCCCGACTGCCGTCCTCTCTGGCCCTGGGCTGGGCTGCATCCAGCCTGACCCCAAGGACCCACCTTATCTGACTAATGGGGAACATGGCTATTGCATGAGGCAGAGATAACCACTGCTGCATTCATGCTCCTGCTGTCCTTCATATTCCCTGTTTTCACTCCTGTTCTTAGAAGAGGAAAATCTTTTCCAGCCTGCCTTTCCCTGGAGCCAAGTTTCTTTGGGTGCATTCAGCTTGGATAGAGCCCACAGAAATTGGACAGGGGAAAACTTCCTGGCTCAAGGGATTGCAATCAATTGCATGGGCCAGAGAGAAACCCTTGTTTCTGCTGCAGGGCAGTTGGGGCCTGCAGTGGGGCTGCGCCCCAGAAACCTTCCCCAGGGTCAGCACACTCCCAAGCAGTGCCATGGCCCAGTGCTCACGTGCCCAAACTGAAGGCATTCCCAGTATTGGTTTTGGCTGCACCATGCTGCTCCGTAGGGAAGGTGTGCAGGAGCCAGAAATCCTCCTTTCTGATTCTCAAATGACAGTGTTAATAAGGCCAGCAGTGGTAAAACTCTGAGTGTTTCCATCGCACACGTGTTTAATTAAGCCAGCATCTGCCCACAGACACAGGCCATGCTGTCAGCCCTGAGTAGGAGTGAGGAGCGAGGGCAGAGCATTCTTCCTCTCCTCCAGCAGGAAGTCTCTTGCCAAATATTTTCTTGCCTCCTCTCTGGAATAGCTGCCAAGGAGCAAAACATTCACAGTGAAAGCCTTGAATGAAAGGCAGTGCCTTTCACTGAGCACGGCAACTCGTGTGGCTGTGGGCTGCAGCACCTGCTTGCTCTGCACAGCAGCCCCCATCACCTCAGCCCTCTCCCAAAGCAGCAGTGAGTAACTCAGCTTTGTCATCTGGCTTTGAAAAAGCAGGTGCAAGGCCTTTGCCTTGAAATCCACTGTGGTCCCTGATAATGAGCATCTTTCTTGGTGAGGAAGGAAGAAAGTGTGACTCACACTGTTATCAGGAGCGTTAGCCCTACAGGTAAATGCAGTTTCACTGACGCAAGGCTAACGGTGACGTCTCGGTGGGGAGCCTGCTTCAGCAGGGAACCTGGTGCCCTCTTTTCTGGGACCTAATCTAAATCCTTTTATAAGGGGCTGGCAGGTGGACCAAACTTCCCTGGGCAAAGGGGTTATCTTGCATCCGGCAGTGGGATGTGGTACCAAAGGACAAAGGAGGTGGCCTGAGGGTTAAAAAGTGCTCGCTCCTTCATGGACACCTTGTACCCTCCCTCTGTCCCCCTTGCCTTGGCACAAGTGGCTTTGCACAGCATCACCTTGCCGGCTGCTGGGGCTGCAGCTGCACAGCACATCCCGCCAGTGCTAAAGGGTTGCAGGGAGCAGGTTTGACCCTGCCCTCCCATCCCAAACCTGCCCCTGCAGGAACCCACAGGCTTAGACCCACCTGCAAGACCCCTCTGTGTTTTATTTCATCTCCTTTATGGCCAAGAGCAAGGGATGGGGCTCCCTTTGCATCCATCTTTGCAGGATGGATGAAGCAGACAGGTGAGCGTGGCCCTGCCAGAGCCTGCCCTGACACTGGTGAGGTGCTGGGGTACTCCTTAGTACCACAGACAAGTTCAATCACAGCCCATCTAGAAACACAGATTTATTGTGATATCAGCTTGCAATCAGTACTCCATCCCCACACTGTCCCCCCAAAATTCTGGGCTCCTGTGGGTGCCCTAATCCCCCCCCAGTGTCTCCAGAGCCACAGATGAGCAGGTGAGCCCCAGCGGCACAATTTCACTGTCCTTGCTGGGCTGTGGGCTGCAGGATGGAGTTTGGCCATGAGAAGACTGCTGTGCAGGGGCTATGGGTGTGCTTCCAGCTGGCTTGCAGGGGCAGCTCCAAAAGTGGTAACAGAAGCTGGACTCAGGGTCCTTCACAGCTGAGATTTCTGAGCAGTCATATGTCAAGATCCCCGAGCAAAAGATACGAATGTGGGAGACACCGCTGCATCCTTCTCCTCTTACTGTGTGCCCTCGGTGCCAGCCCAGGTGTTTCGGAAGCTAGGAAAAGTGCTGACCAGGTGCCCTGCTGCTGCTACACATATCCCGTCAGGTTGTAGGAGCTGAACTCACTCTTGGGCTTCTGCATCTGTTTGACGGAGGGCTGGGGACTCCTGCTTGCCAGCAGCCGGGGTGAGTAGGGGCCTGATGGGTCACGGGGAGGGCAGGAGGCACAGAGGATGAAGCCACCAATGAGGGAGAGCAGAGAGGAGATGATGCCCAGGTATAGAGCTTCCCCCAACTCAAATTTGGTGCTGTCGGGGAGCAGGGGGTTGTGGAAATCTCGTAGCACCACATGGATGTTCCACACCAGTGGGATGAAGCAAAGCAGCCCCCCGAGGATGAAGACCACACCACCCGCCACTGCCACTCGGTCCTTGGCTGGGGAGCCCTGATTGAAGACGGTGCACCTCATGCCCACCACTGCCATAAGGCAAGCAAGGGAGGAGACGGCACAGGAGCTCACCATCAGGGCCTGGGCTGCCTGGATGTCAGGAGGCAGGTTGAGCAGGGAGCTGTAGATGTCGCACTGAGTGATGCCCGTGCTATATGTAGCACACTCCATCCATAGCCCCTTGGTGAAGCTCACAGCTGTCACGATGCTCGAGCCAATGTAGGAGCTGATCTTCCAGTTGGGCAGCAGCGTGGTTGTCAGCGTGCCGATGTAGCCCAGGAAGGCCACGATGTAGCCCACCAGCTGGAGTCCCATAGAGACCATGGTTGGGCCGGCTGTCACCTCTCCCGCACGTTTACCTTCCCATGGCCCTGCTAGCGGCTCCTCTCGCTGTGCTGAAGCTTCACCCCGCTCCTGTGGGTGTTGGTTTTGTGAGGGCACGGGCGCGTGGGGGGAGCCGGGGGGAGGAGAGGTTACCTGCAAGAGTGGAAAGCAATCCCTCCCCGATTAACGATTGACTCGAGCCTGCAGAGAATCGCCAAGCACCCTTTCACCTCTGTTATCTTCCCAGGCAGGCTTCAATAGGCAGCACAGCGGAGCCCAGGCAGGCCGCCAAAGCCCCTCCTTGTGCTGTGGGCAGGATGGGGAGCTGGCTGGTCCCCATCAGGTCTCTGCTGGGGCATTTCTTAATGCATGGTGTCTCCTGGTGCAAGCCTCCCCAGCCACCTCTTCCTTCACCCTGTGTCCTGCTTAATGGAAATATTCTTTTGCTGCTGTGCACTCCTCCAGCTGCCTTTGCAAACTCAGCTAATCTTTATCTTTCCCTGTTTCAAGGCAAAAAAGAAGCCAAAACACTGTGGCTGCGTGTTGTTTGTTTGGAACTGTTGGAGGTGCTTTAGAGTGGTGGCCCTGAGGTTTTCTCAGCAGAAAAATGGGGTTCCTAAAGCATCTGCTGCTATCCCCCCACCCCACAGAGAATCCAGCAGGAATGGGGCCAAGGGATGTGTTCTCCTGAGGGTGAATCACAGCTATCAGCCTTCCCATGTGATGATGAAAGGGAGGAATGGCAGGTGACAGCGACACCTACATCCCTAGGAGAGCCCGGAGGTTCACGAAGGACAGCAATGCACTGGGCACAGTGTGTTTAATGGTGAGTCCATGCCAGCTCCTGGGAGCATTCTGTCCTGCAGCAAGCAGTGTGCTCCCCATGTGGGTGCTAGTGCCATGGGGTTTTTTTCTGCCCCAGCTGGGGGTGGGCAACAGGGATCTGGCAGACACGGGGCGGTTTGTTTTTCCTTCATCTTGTTTCAAAATTCCCCCTGCTGTGGTTCTTGCGAAACAGCAAACCACACAGATACTGCCTGGCCAGTGGCCTCCTGCCCTGGGAAATTTGCCGGCTGAGGGTGCACCCCTCCCAGAGCCTCCATTCCCTTTCCCCGGCCTTGGAACATCAAATGTTTACTATTAAAATTTCCCGACTTTCATCTCCTTTCCCACGTGCAACCCAATATACAGCCACTCAATCTTATGGGTGCTGTTACAGAACTAATACTCAGGTTTTGGGGGCTGGCAAACTGGGGCATGCGAGGGACTGTGTACTTACAGAGATGGCTGGAGATGTGGTGCGGGACCGAGGGCAGCTGCAGTCCTACAGGAAGAGGCTCGTCAGGGCTGGGGATCAGGGACTGCGAATGGTTCACCTCGGCTTTGCAAAATCCATCCACAAATCTCAGCCTGGAGGCTTATTGCAGATCAGAATTAAACCCTTTCGGTGTCAGGAAGGATTGAGGAGCTGGGATGCCTTGTTTTGCTTGTTTTCTATTAATTATCAGGGTAGGTGGTTGCCTAAGTGGCTTGGGATACCAGGCTAGGGCGGGGGCAGTGGTGTGTGGAGGAAAGGCGGTGAGAAGAGATGGGGTGGAGTGAAGGGAGCAGAGCCAAGGATGGAAACTGGCTGCAGAGATGAAGCCAAATTCCTCCCTTGCCTTCCATCTGCGCTGGCTCCAGGGGCCCTTTGCTGTCAGTGGTGATGCCCAGCTGGCAGGGGCGCAGAGGGGACTTTTCTCCTGTGGGGTTCAACAGCCCCTGAGACCTGTTTTGGCCAGGGCTAGAAGAGAGTGGCTGGAGATTGAGCTGGGCATAGGGCAATGCAGTGTGCAAGTTACCAAGGTGTCCCACAGCACACCAGTACCACAAGAGATGGACAACCCAGCATTTCCATCTTCTACGCTGAATCCCGTCCCTGCCAAGCTGTGTGCTGGGATCACAGGGCAGCAAAAGACCAGCAGGTTGAACTCTCCAGCCTTGCTTGTCCTCTGCAGGGTTTGTTATTGTAAGACTCCTGGCCCAAATGAGGAGCAAATGGGGACGGTAATGAGGGCTGTTGCTCGTGCCATGCCCCCTCCCGTTCCCCGGCTGCTGCAGATGGACTGGGGCAGGGAGGGCCCCTGGTGACAAATTGTGCTCAGAGCCAAGCTGATCCTGGCCAATGTTTGGACACTGCTGGCAGAGCTACAGCAGGGACCATTTGCTATTTTCTTTCCTTGTCTCAAACTGAAACTCTCCCAGGATTGGGGGGTGACCTGCCTGCAAGTGGCACCTCGCATCAAGTGCCCAGTCAGGAGCAGCACGAGGGGTGGGATGCATACAGGTATGACCCTTGCATCCTCCTACTGAGAATCCTTCCTGCACCTCCTGATACTGTCTGCATCCCAGAGAGCCTAGGGAGATCACTGGCAAACACTGCAGCAGTAAATTATGGAATCATAGAATTATTTGAGCTGGAAAAGACCTTCAAAGACCATCTAATCCAATTGCTCTGCTGTGGGCATGGACATCGCTTTAGCAGATCATACTGAACCATTCTGCTGGGAGGGGACAGCCAGTTCTGAGTTGTGCCACTGCTTTTGGTTGCCAGCTCCGTGCTGCAGCTGTGCCCAGCCCTGCAAGGCTAAAGCTTGGGGAGAAGCTGCCTTGTGTCTGTGTCCCACTCACCTTGGGGCTGGTCCTGCAACCAGCCTTGGGGATATGACAGCCATTATACATTATACATTATATGCAGCACCTCTTTGCTGTAGGAATAAAACCTGGGACCGCCCTGGAGGACCTGAGCAGGAACCTGTGTGCCTGAGCAGGACCGCTGCAATCCCCTGGCACCTATCTTCACCCCTATCCTCTCTTGAGCATCCTTTCTCTCACCTTCTGGTTGGTCTGTGCTTGCTTCTGCTGCAGCCCATCACACTGTCACCATCATGCCATCCTCATCCCCTGCCCGTCGTGATGCCCCAGCACTCCTGATCAATTCCCCAAATCTCCTCTCCCTTATGCAAATGGCTACTAAGAACACTTAATCATCCTTGTTAATTGTCTTTGCCCTACCCTGTTTCCCCCCACACCCCCCTGAGCCCTCCTGGGGACTTTCTCACAAATGGTGTCTAACTTTTCCCTTCTGTGTTTTGCTTTTCCACAACACCCTGCTTCCAGTCCCCCCCAGCCCTCTGTTTACACAACTGGGACAAATTTCACACCCTGGGGACTGCTACCCCTGAGCCCCCAGTCCAACACTCTCCTGCCACAAAGAATTTGTGAGTCACTGGTGAGGGCAGAGCTATATATAAAGCTATCCTCACAAAGGACCTCCAGCCTTGGAGGGGACACCGTTGCCACCATGGAAGCTGCTGCCTGTTGCCTGCCTCTCCACCGGCTCCCGTTGCCCATAGCTGGTGCTTGCCCAGCCCCGGGGCTGCAGCAGAGGGGAAGGTACTTTGGGTGCAGAATGGGTGGGGGGGGCTGGAGCAGGCAGCAATGGCTATGTGGGAAGGCTCCAGGTGAGTTTGGGTGAAGGCCATGTGCTCCTGGTTTAGGTGCAGACTCCCACAATCCCAGCACTGAAGGTGCAGAGCCTAGGATCTGGGAGCTCCTGCAGGGAAGGGACCACAAGTGGGGTGGTGGATATGCCTGGCACCAGGGCAGGGGTTGTGGATGTACTGGCAAAACTGGAGTGTGTGGCTGGGGTGTGGGTGAGCAAGGCAAGCGGGGAGGAAAATGCAGGGTGCCCACTGTGCTCATCTTTCTGTCCTCCCCAAGACCCAAGCCACTCTGGAGACCATGGCTGCCCCAGGAGGAATTCATGACCAGGCAGCAGAGGGAACAGATGGACACTGTGAGTTTTATTCTTCCTGCTGCGACCCACTTTTTTTTTTCCATTGACAGCGTTGGAGTCACCAGCCTCTGGCCCCAGACTCCTTTATCCCTTGCAAGGGCTGAGCAGAGGGCACAGAGCAAGCACCTGCACCCTGACATCCTCCCCAAAGCCCACGGGAGGGTAGCTGCAATAAGGGGGTGAGCAGGGAGTACTTTGGGTACCCACATTCCCCAGCATCTCCTCTCCACTCCCCAAGCCTACAGCCTTCTGGGGCAGTGCCAACTGCAGCAAACACAGCTGCTCTGTGGGGTCTGAAAGGGATGCCTGTTCCCGGCCTGGCGGGCATTCCTCAGGGGGTTAGCAGGACGCGTGGGCACAATGGGGGAGATTACTCTGGCAAAAAGCCCTCGTGTGGGGTTTAGATGCCAGCTTCCTTTGTGGGAGCACAGGGAACTGAATCCATTCAGCAGAGGAGCGGGGAAAATTGGGATGCGGTCTGGCCCCACAGACACACTGCTCAGGGGCTGTGAGGTGGTGTGTAAACCTCTGATGTTAGGAAGGAGGTCTGTGTCACTGCAACCACGGCAGGAGCAGGGGCACAGGGATATGGGGCAGGTCCCAGCCCGGCTCTGTTCCCACAGGCTCATCCCCTCGATGCTGCAGGAGACCACAGCACTGACAAAGCGCTAGCACTGTTCCGCCATCCGGTCAGGTACGTCCCCGTGCCGGCGCCATGCCCACAGCTAGGACGGGCAGGTTCTCACGGTGATTCTCGCCAACAGGCTCCTGTGGCCCAAATCCAGGTGCTTTGACTATCTGTACAGTGTGGCGGAGAAGCTGCTGGAGAACTTCCCGGTGCAGGCCACGCTGTGCCTCTACGATGATTCAGACAGCGAGGGGGATGAGACCGAAGATGACGATGAAGATGGCGATGAAGGGAACGAAGGAGAGGTCGGAGGCGCTGTGCCCGCGCTAGGGGCAGGCTCCCCGCGGCCGGCCTGAACGCAGCACACGTGGCACGGGGATGGAGGATGACTGAGGCGTAGGGCAGCGCGGGGCCTTAGTGCCGCGGGGGCAGCGTGAGCCGGGTCCGGCCGCTCGAGCAGCCGTGACGCTGAGCGCGGTGCAGAGCCCAGCCCCATGAAGCGGCACAGGGCCCAGCGGCGCCGGCAGTCAGTTTGTGGAGAAATAAAGCGCGTGAAACTCCGACGGCCTCCGCGGTGTGAGGCGCGGGGCGGGGCGGGGCGGGGCGGGGCGGGGCCGCCCGCAGGCGGTGACCGATCCCCGATCATGGTTCCGCAGCGCCGCCCGCAGCACGAAGCGCTGCGCCGCAGCGGGCGTGGGACTACTACTCCCAGCAGCCTAGGCGGCCACATCGCGCTCTCCCATTGGCTGCACGTTCACAGAGTCCGCGTTTGATTGGGGAAGGCTCGTAGGCCCGCCCACTTTTCCGCTCCCCGCTTCTAATTGTAGAGGCGGAGGAGGAGGCGGGGCGTGCTGGCTGAGGGGGGTTGTGATTGGCTGAGAGGTGGGAGGGGGGCGGAGCTTTCCTCTTCCTGCCCGTCGGCGGGAGGGAGCGGCTGCGGCGGGGCGCGAGGCCGCCATGAGGTACGGGCGGGGCGGCGTGAGGCGGGCTGTGGGGCGGCGGGGGAACTCGGGGTGATGTGGGGTACTGGGGCTGAGGGTATGGGGTGGGCTTCGGGCTGGGGCGTTGAGGCTCTGTGTGTGTGGAGGGGGTGGGATGCCAGGGCTGGAGGTCGGTGTATGGGCTGGGGGAGCTGCGGGCAGGGCGGGCCTGGCTGGGTGCGGGAGGTGCTGTGGGGTCCGGCTTCCCCGTGGCGCGTTCTGTGGGGCCGCCCGGAGCCGATGGCGACAAATGGGGTCGGGGTCTGGGCGTGGAGGGAGGGAGGGGGCCGGGCAGCGCGGGGCCGGGCCGCGGCATGGCATCGAAGGCTGCCGCGAGGTGAAGCTTCGGGCCCCCGCGGTGTCTGGCGTGCGGAGCGGGCGCAGCCTGGCACCGCGTGGTGGATCCTGGCACAGAGCATCGCTGGGGAGCGGGAGGAATCCCCGCTGTCTGGATCACGGCTGTGGCGCCGGTCGGTCCCTCGTCACACCTGTGCCCTTACCCTGGACTCTGCGGGCTAGGATCGCGCGCCGGGCTTTGCCAGCACGATTTCCTCCTTTGGCATCAGGGAGGGGGGTGGGGGGAGACACGAATGTGCGACTGCAGCATCCTCGCATTCACGGACGCATCCCTCGCGCCTCCTCGCCGTTGCTGTAGCAACCTCCCGTCGGTGGGGTATTTATAGAGGAGAGCTGAGAAGCGTGGGGCGGACGGGGCTGGGTGGGTGTCTGCCGGGTCAGCCTCCAGCTTCTCTCATACGGTGGGTGGGTGCTCAGGCAGTGCTGCTCGCCGGCTGCCGGCCCTCCCGCTCATCTCACCTGGGGGCGGCCAGGGATCTGCGTGTGGAAATTAAAAATAAATACCCGTGTTGCTCACCCTTGTTGCGTGCGCCCGAGCAGGCAGCTCTTGTGCTTGCAGGCTTGTGCAGAGCAGGCTTATTGTTGTGCTGGAATAAACAGTCTCTTGTTTCTGACGCTGGGTGGTGCATTGGCACAGATGTTTGGGGAAAAAAAAGTTAAAACTGATGAAATTGATCATTACTGTACTTTTATACCTGCGGTGTCAGGCTCCATGAATGTAAAGCGTGCTTCATGGAGCCTGGGATCCTGGCAAGTCTAGTCTTGAATATGTTTATTTCCGTGACTCGAATTCTCGTGTGTATCAGGTAGAGAAGGTGTGATGCTCATTGCCTGTAATAATGAGTGGCACGAAGTTTGTGTACTGTGTGGATGCTGGGGCAAATTTTCTTTGCAGCCTGTTCTTTGATACAGAGGATTTGAGTTTCTTCATTAAAACAGACAGCAACAAAATCAGGTCAGTATCTGCTCACAGCTGACAGAACCTATAAGGGAATGTGCGGCTCCTGCAGCCTGTGTGCTCCCATCAGACTTGGGAATGTGGTTTGGAGGAGCAAGATCAAGTGTTCCATTCCTTGTGAAGAGAAATGTGGATGAATGCCCAGCCTGGGGAGTGCGAGATGGCAAATCTGTCACATGTAATTGTTCTGTTGCTTTCCCTCTGTCCTGTTTAAATCCCAGGCTAGGTGTTGCAGGATTTCTCAGTCTGTTTAAAATAAACTGTTCTTTGCTGATGGAAAGCAGCTCCAAGCATCGCCGGTCTCTTACTGCTTTTGGTACAAAAAACACGCGAAGCCTGATTTTGGCAGTGAGAGACGTTAGCTTTACTGAGGAGGTGTTTGTTGGTGAGATCTGATACCTCCTGATGTAGCAATACGCCAGCACTGTTGTGTGCCTGGATTCCAGCCTTTTGAGTGAAATGGGAAGTGTGTTTCCTGTGCTGCTGACCCAGCGGATGGCTTTGTACAGCCACTGACCTCACCCCAGCAGAGAGCTAATTGAAGCGCTTTGGGGATTACTCTGAATATCTGCAGTCCTGGACCTCAGATCAGCTCATTTTAGTTCCTGCTGTTTCTAAACTGCCTTTGCTGCTACATCCACAATACATCCCTGTGGGAGCTGGCTCAGTCTTTTGATGGAGTTGTGGTTTTGTCACAGCAAGGAGTCATGGAAGGTGAGAGATGAGTTTGGCCAGGATGGTCTGATCTGTGGGATCTTAAGCGCAGTGAAAAGACAAAACGTGGAAAATAAATGAGTGGAATTCCTCCTGCAAGCAGATAATAGTTTACTCCTTTACTGAACTTCACTGTTGTGGGGTTTTTTTTTTTGTTTTTGAAGTGTGAAAGGTGCTTTTCTAGCAGGAGAGTTGGCATCCTGAATATGCAGGAAGTGCTGCTGTTGCTCTGAGCTTTGCCAAACACCCTTTAGGACATGCATATCCTTTTCTCTCCTGTTAAATACTCAGCTTGATGGTAATGGAGAAAACAATCCAGCCATCCTTACTGCATACTGTGGGTAAGCGTTACAGAAGTGAGAATTTACATGACTGTGCAATGGATGCAAAATGAGTTTATCTGTATCCATCAATCCTGTCTCGGAGGGAAGAGCACCAGTCTGTTCCCAGCGCCTTCCAACTCTCAGGTCGTCCTATATGCTGATCCTGATCTTCCTGGTTAGCTTGTGTGTTTGCCTCCTGGGGCAGCATAGGTCCTGCAGGCACCTGCCATGGGCAGCTGATGGTAGCAAGCATGTCAGGCAGAGGGAGGCTCTGGTGTCAGGTGTACTCTGTGTCCAGCAGAGCATTGTTGATCACTCACCAATTACATGGTCCTCGTTGGCTGTGCCTTGTTTCCGTGAATGGGAGACTCTCCCTTTTGCTCTTGGTGCTGGGTGTATTGGAGTCTGCTTCTCTCAGAGGAATTGTCGCTTTCGAAGCATTCTTTATTCTGTGAATTCAAAGGTTAGGAGATTAGCTGGTTGCAAGGTTGGGCTGACAGTTTCATGGGTCTACAGATAGCACCCTGCTTTCTGCATCATTCTGATCCAGGATGGTGGAGGGATCAGGCTTTAGTGTCTGCTGGGCTGCAATTGAAGCTCTTGATGACTCTCCTATTTTCTTCCCTGCAGGTAGGTGGGAGTCCCCTGCAGCCGAGCAAGGCAGCATGGCAAGTAAGTGTTCCCTCTTCCCCTCCAGCACCACTACCACCTCTTCATCTGCAGTAGGGAAGTGTTTTTCAGGTGCCTCACAAGCAAGAGGCACATGTATTTTTTGGGGAGGCTCAGATGCCATTGACTCTTATCCCTATACATGGTCTGAGGTCCAGCCTGCCTTGTTCCTCTCTCATCTGTGCAAGATGGGAGGTACTGAAGGGCGAATCTCTCCAGGACTGCCTTTATTTCTGTGAGGCTTGTTGCAGGAAGCCTTCCTTGAGGCTTTTTGGACTGACTGACTCCTTTGCAGGCATTGCTGGTCTGCACCAAGATCTCCCAGCCGTGGTGCTCCCCAGGAAGGTGGCCTGCGATTTGGGCCATGCTGTCCTGCAGCCTGGGTGGCCTGGGACACTGCAGCCCTATGTTCTTGGCAGAGACTTGGGCAGTAGTGTAACGTAGCCCCCTGCTGGAGCATGTTGCATCTTGGTGAGTGAGTGCCCAGCACATGTGGCCATTTGGTGCCAGCAGCTGTGAGGACTGGCCTGGCAAAAGCTGGGCTGAGAACAGTAAGGGTGCAGGGTGGAAAACAGCATGTGATCTGTGAAGGGCTGGACTCAACCCTCTGTCCTCACTTATCTGAGCAGCCTGCACAGAGGCTGCATGTAGCGATGCAATGGGAACTCTGAAAGGAACAGGAAGATGCTAGAGCTGAAATCTCAGGATCTGCTGAGGTGCCGCCAGAGCCAGCTGTGAAGGTGGAGGCAGAGGCCAAGCTGGACAGAAGAGAACTCCAGGGATGACAGGTATGCCTCCTCTTGTTGTCTGTACTGTGCTAGGGGGAGGGAGCAGAGATCTCCACGCAGGTTCTGCCACAGAATGTACCTTTTATCTTGTGTTATTGAGGAAGGTCCCCAGTTGTTGCCCTGCCTTCTAGCACCTTCTCTCTCTCGCAGATTTTAGCTGCTGACTTAGTAGCACCTGCTTCTTGTGGAAGCTGTCCCTTGAGGTGGCAGTGCCCTGTGCCAAGCAGTTTCTGTCATGCAAGTCACATGAAGGATGTGACTTGCAGGAGTGGTTTGTGGTGATCAGCACATTTGCCCGCATGTGCTTCCCCAAAACTGCAGCCCTGACTGCTCCTTTCCAGGCACAGCCATGTGTCATTTGGGCAAGGCAGTCCTGGGTAGAGGTATGGCTAAGCCTGCCTACCACCAGGGGCCAGCATCACCTTAGGAAACTTAAAAGGGATGGCAGTGAACTCCTGCTCCCCCAGCCTAAAGCTCTAATCTTTCCTGTGCACTGGTGCTCCAACTGGTGTGGGGAGACTTGGAGAGGCACAAGGAGTCAGTACAGACACTGCTGGGGTTTGAAAAGTCTTCCCTCTGTCCTGTGGTTTGGAGACAACTGCTGCTCAGCTGTCTGCTGTCCTGTGAGTTGAGGATCCCAAGTCAGAGAGGAGAGTTTACAAGGCTCTTCTGTCCTGAAGGCCACTGGTCTTCCTGCCCTGATTCCCATGCATGTGGGAACTGCTTTCCACATAAAAGAGGGGAAGGATCAGTGACTTAGTTTCTGCTCTCCTGTCATTTCTAGGTCCTCAGGGGAGATTCCCTGGGGGAAGAGGCTCATGCCTCCATCACAGCATGTTTTCAACTGAGAAATTGTTTGTGATACCTCTCTGTGTGTCTGTTTTTATTTCCATCATAGTGACCAGTTCAGCAAAGCAGGGTCAAGTGAGTGGTATCTGCAGGGATGGAAAACTGTGCAAGTGAGATCTGCAGCTAAGCTTGTTGCTCCAAGGTGGGAAGGAAGATGGAAAGAGTCTCAGGCTCAAGTGCTGAGGAGGGGAGAGTTCATAGCACAGCTTGATCAAGTCAGGAAGCCAAGGAGGTAAGGCCAGATTTCTCCAGTGAAAGCTGGGACATTTGCAGAATGGATGGTGCCTTTGTGAAATTTCATCCGGTTCCAGAAAGGGGCGGGTGACAGCCAGCCTGCCAGCCTGCTCCATCTTCAGCCAGGACAGCCCTCCTTGACTGGGAAAGCCAAGGCAAGCTGATCCCTGCCCTCCAGCGGTGTGCTTCTGTGCCTCTTGAAGATGCTTTTTTCTGGTTATCCTTGTTATTTAAGGGGGGAAAAAAAAAAAAGATATGTTTGCATAATAAAGTTGATTCTGAAGGGAAAGTCTCTGACTCACATCATTCATGCTGTTCTTCATTCACACCTCAGTGGTTTCAGTCTTCTGCAAACTCTCTCACCGAAGCAAGCCATTAATAAATCACTAGGGGGAAATGCACCTACACAGCACATAAAGAGCACAGTATCTCCAAGCACAGAGTCGCATAGCATTGTAGTAGTTTCTTATTTGTGGTCTTTCCCCTGCCTTGACACTTGTGAGTATTCTCAAAAATACCTTGCTATATTATTTTAGAAGCAGGATAAATGGAAGGTAAAGCTGAAGGAAAACATGTTGACCTCCCTGGTGGCAGGCTGCTACTGAATGTTATGTTTGATCATTTACTAAGCATCCTTTTCTATTCTATCCAAGCTGGTCTAATGGGAGACTCTGTCAGTCCCCCTACCTCCTTGTCCTGCATCTGTTCTTATTGCTGCAGTGTGAATTAGTTCATCTGGTTAATCCATTGGAAGACTGAGCCTGAGGGGAAGAGGTGAACAGGCTTCTGTAGATCAGCCAGCTGACCTGATTCATCTTACTCAAAGAATGCAGTGAGATTGGCTGAGTGGGAAGAAGCAGTTGGATGTGTTTGGCTGCATACAGAAGGGCTGCCTTGTGAAATGTGTGTGGGATGTTTGTATCCTGGGAGGGTCATGGTCTGTGTGCAGTGTTGCTTTTTGGACAGCATCTCACCTTTCTTGTGCTAACAGGGTCAGTGCCCTTACGCTGGGAGCTCCCTTTTCCTGCAGAAGCCTCTGCCTGACCCTGGGTCCTTTTCTGATGTAGTTGCCATGTAGTAAAAGGGCAGTATTGTGAGGTCCCATCAAGGGCAGAAGGTTAAAAACAAGTCCGTTGGAGCTGTCCTATGTGGTCTGACACTGCCAATTTCTGTGTATGTAGCATCCAGTCCTGTTGGAAGAATGCTGCTGGTGCTGCATGTCTCTGGGCAGACCCCAGAAACCCTACTACTGTGTGTACTTCCTCAGCAGGCACACTGCTGCGCTAACTGAGCTGTAGCTGTGGGCCGTTTGGTGCTTGGGATACCTGTTCCACCAAAAGCGGGTGGGAAAACCCGGCTGCACAGAGGCCAAGTGTGGGTTTGTCGCTGTTGAGCATCTGTGCTTTGTGTGTTGCAGTGTTCTTGGGGGCCAGGAATGCCCACTCAATCCTGAAGCGCTTTCCCCGAGCCAACGGCTTCCTGGAGGAGATCCGGCAGGGCACCATCGAGCGGGAGTGCATGGAGGAGGTCTGCAGTTACGAGGAGGTCAAGGAAGTGTTCGAGAACAAGGAGAAGACAGTGAGTTTGTCCCACTCTGCTCCTCAGTGGATGCATGAGGCACTTATGCCTTGGTATGCTGTGGGTGGAGAAAAGCACAGTGGGAATGGCCTCTCCTGTTTCCTCTGTCCTCTTCATTCCACGGGCAGTATGCTGTAGCCTCACTTTTCAGCATGTTTTACTCTTGCAAGACAATGTTCTCTCCTTGTCATTGCTGGGACACCCTGCATAGCTTCAGGTTGAACTGGCACTCCCCTGGCATTTATAAGAGATTTATACTGCTGTCCCCACATCTCCAGGTGGGTTTTGACTTTGGCCACATTTCTCCCTGCTTAATATGGGGACTGGTGGCTGCTGTTGAGGTTTGTTCCCATCATCTTTTTTGCTGGGTCCTGTAGTTGTTTAAGCAGGACCACTCAGCCTTGGTGAGAGTGTTGCAAGGCAGCTGGAAAGGCCTCTTCTGTGGGTTTGGGGACAGCAGTGTTTATTGCATGTGATGGTTAGGGGCTGCTTGTCCCACGCAGAAGCACGTGGTAGTTCCTTCTGTGTTTCTACTGCAGATGGAGTTCTGGAAGGGCTACACCAACTCTGTGTACTCTGTCAAGGACCCTGGGCACAGCACGGAGCGCTCAGATGCTATGTACGTGGTAGTGCCCCTCTTGGGAGTGGCTCTTCTGATAGTCATCGCCCTCTTCATCATCTGGAGGTGCCAGCTGCAAAAGGCCACCCGTCACCGCCCTTCCTACGCCCAGAACCGCTACCTGGCCAGCCGAACAGGACGCAGCCTCCCCAGGGTCATGGTGTACCGTGAGCGGTCACAGAGCCAAGGGGAAACTCAGTATCAGCGAGAAGCAAGCAACCGAGGGGCTGGAGACAGCAGAGCAGGGGGCACCCCCCAGCCAGAGGGCACTCTCTGTCCACCAGAGCACTCGGTCTCTGTCCTCTCCAGACTGTCCAGTGCCACCCCTCCACCGTCTTACGAGGAAGTTACGGGACACCCAGACAGCAGCAGCGGCGAAGAGACCAGCATCTCCTACAACGACCCTCCACCAAAGTATGAGGAAATTGTGGCTGCTGCTCCCACTGCAGGCAAATAGAGGGTCTGCCTCTCTCTTGCCTCTTCACACACTCATGCTCATGCACCCACACCCCTTGCCATGCCCAGAACCTTGTTCAGGTGGCATTGATATCCCTGTATCACTTGTACAAGCTGGTGCCATCACACAATAGCCTTACCTTCCTTACCAAAAAACAGCTGTCCCCAAGCAGGGTGAGGGTGGGATGTGGGGCTCTGGGTTCAACCAGCTATCCCCCTTCCCCTTGCTCCCTGCTCACATAAGTGCTGCAGCAGCCAGAGCAGAGCAGCAGCTTGTTCCTGGCTCAACTGGGGGTCCTCCCTACGGTGCATTGGATTTCTTCACTTCCCCTCAGACATAACACTTCCCATGACTAAAACAGCCTCACTGCCTCTCTAGGACTCTGCTCAGCCTTACCCTGTGTGCATGCTGGCTCATGGACCTTAGGCACGTGTGGTGCTGGGATTGGTCTTTTCCATAACCAAGTCAGCAGGGGCTGGTTTGTGATATGCTGAGACCCCAGTCCTCACTGTCTTCTGTTTGATGCTTGGTGCTCTGAAGAGAAGGTGAGGAGGCAGGAGCGGTGCTTGTTTCTGTCCCCATGGTTTGTGACCAGGGAGAAAATTCCTTCTTTGTGTGGATTTGCTGCCTGTGGGAGTGGGGAACCCGGTCCATCCTGTTGTGCCTGTAGTGATATTTGTTACTGGGAGAAAGAGGAGGGACTGGGCAAGAAGGTGCTTTGTGATCTAGAACCCTTTGGAAAGGGAGGAAGGTTTGTGGTGGTCTTGCACGTGAGGTAAGTTGCTTTGGAACCATGAAGATGGCTGCACAGCTTTAAGCAGTGGGGATGTACCTCCTTTCTGCAGGTGCCTGCCTCACCTGTTTGGTGTCCTCACTAGGTGTGGGATGCAGGCACAGGGAGGCTGCAGATGTGCCAAATCTCCCTTCAGCCTTCCCCTAACCTCTCAGTCCTGGCTCTCTTTCCAAGGCTTTTGTCCTTCAAGCCGCTCTGGTGGGCAGAGCACATGGCCAGGGCCATGGTGCAGAGGGCCTGTCGGCAGAGATGGCTGCAAAGGTGAACAATGATTGTGCAACCAACCAGGCTCTGGCAGCTGGGGATGCTGATGGCACAGGAGCAGAGCTGGCCCCTTGGAGCCAGGGCAGGGTAGAGCACGTGCTTTGCCCTGGGACCAGCGTGTCCCCTTCTCCTAGGCAGCCACTTCTGGGCTCTGTGCGATGGGGCTGTCCTTTCCCAGTCATGTCTGATGGGCCATAAGGGGGTTCTTCTCACCAGCCCTCAGTACCAGCCCAGAACCTTGTAGCACTGCCGCCCTGTAGCATTCACCCCAGCACCAGTCTCCACCAGCACCAGAAGGCTGTGGTGTACCTGCAGGCTGCCCACACCCGCTGTCCTTTGTCCCAGTGATGCTCTCAGCCTGGAGCTGAGGCTTGCCCAGCATGGCTGTCCCTGGGGCAGGATACAAGCCCGTGGGGTCTGCAGCTGCCAGCACCTCATCTGTCCCCTGCCAGGCCTTCACGCTGCCTTTTGGCCTTAGTAAATGCAGGTGATGGGACAACCTGGCAATGAGTGCCAGGGTCAGAGCTGGGAAAGACTGGAGGGAGTCAGAGGGCATTCTTGGATCCTCTGTCTTTGATGCACGGTCATTACCTTTGCGGTTTGTATTCTGTAAAACTTGGTATATTTCTGTGCAAAAAGGTATTTATTAAAAAACCCTCACTGTCTAAACGGCACAGGGTGGCTTTTTCCCAAACTGCTGGGAGAGGGTTGTGGGATGGGGCATTGCACCCCACATCGCTGGGCATGGTAACAACAGAATGTCCTACGAGCCCGGCTGGTAGGTGAGTATGAGGGATTTCCTGACCGCCGGGAGGGGATTTGGGCGCACAGCTCGTCTCTGCATTCCTCTGCACGCGCCTAAACCTCTTAGATAATCCCCTTTAAATAGCAAGACTAGGGCAGCGCGAGATTTATTTTAAGCCCTTTCAGAACTGGATTTTATGGTAAGGCCTTGGACTCCGTCCCCATTCAGAAGCTTTTAAAACCGTCATTCATCCCAAACGGATGGTTTTATCGCTGCACGCTCCACCGAGAGGCGGAAGAGCTCAGCTCCGGCACGGCGATGCGCGGCCGCTGCTGCCCGGGGGCCGGCGGCAGGAGCAGCGGCTGTGCCTTTAAGCCCGGCGCAGTGCCAGGAGGGGAGGGCTCGCCCCGCTGACATCACCTCCCCGCCGGCCGAGCAGGAAGAGCAGCTGCTTACAGGTTGAGAAGTTGCTTTAAACTGCAAAAAAAAAAAAGTAAGTGCCCACTCCCACCCCGCTCCGCCCTTTCCGCCAGCGGGGATCGGGCGCTGCGATGGGGCGAAGCCCTGCTCCGGGGGGGAGAGGGGGCTTTAGGAGAGCAGAGCAGATCTGCTGTCACGAACCTCAAGCGGGGGGTGCCAGACCGTCTGGGGCGGAGGGATGCCGCTGCCCCTCCTGTCCGGGCGGGCGGTCAGTCCGCAGGGCAGGACGGGGGGGGTCCCCTCCGCTTCCCCCATCCTCAAAGCCGCATCCCCGCGCTGCCAATGCGAGGAGAAGCGCAGCACGGAGGTGGGGAGCGATCGTGTTCCATCGGCTTGAGCAAGATTGCTCGGCAGCAGCTAGAGAAACCCCTGTAGAAAGTTAAAAACGGAAATCCGGCCATTTAAGCTCTTTCTTCTTATGGATTTTGACATCTGTGGGTTTTTGGTGTGTGTGTGTGGCTTAGATTGTCAGAGCTCGCTCCCCTCTCAATCCTTTTCTCCTTGGGAGCTGTGGCAGTTCCGTAGGTGATTAGGACATGAACCTCTTTCCCCTTTCTGGTATATTGCTCCTCATACGCTGCTTTCTCAGAGAGAAGGATGAGAAGAGAGCACAGGGTGTTTATTCCTCTAAAACCCCCAAATCTGAGGTGGAACCCAGTGCTTGCCATGGCTGTGGGGCTGCGCGTCTGATACAGCATTCAGGAATGGCACCTTTCCGGGACAGTCCCAGGACTCGGTATCGGGACCGACCCGATTTGCAGGCACGGGGGTCTCGTTCGTACACACATGGAAGCAGCAAAGTGCCGCAGCTGATGACGCTGGGCAGGCTTCTGTCCCTTTAATTAAAAGGCTTTTAATGATGGAGGAGGAGAGAACAGAGTGAAGTGATTACTGTTGGCGGGGAGCCGCCCTGGCATGCCTGGAGTTACAGGGCTGCTGTGGGGTGGGATTGGTGCTCTGGAGCTGCATCTCCGGCCATGTGTGGCGGCTCCAGGAGTGCTGCTGCTGCTCCCGGGAGGCGGGATGGGGATGGGGATGGGGATGGCAGTGGGGAGCCGTGGCTGCTGCCAGCTGGGGGTGGCTGGGCTGGCAATGCAGCGTCAGAACACAGGGTGCTAAAAATAGAGCCCAGCGTGATCAGAGCATGCTGAGCTCCTGCCGTTCTCACCCTCTGAGCTTTGGAGAGGAAAACGTCCCCTTCCTGCAGTGCTTTGGGCTGTGCTGGGGGATTTTGACTCAGGAGCAAAGGGGGATTCCTCTCTATTGTGAGGGCAGAAGGAGGGGCCGAGGAGTCTGTAGGGGAATGGGGTTGGCTGGGGTCTGGAAGAACACAGAACAGTACATCAGTAACATCAGGAACAATAAATCAGAAAGCAGAGAGTCAGAGGGGCTGGGGACCTGTGTCCCTGCTGTGTCCTTGCCAGAATAGGCTTCCTTTCCCTGTGGGATGATGGCTAGTTGTCTGACACCACTGCCTGAAACAAAGTCCGTCCTGTTCAGCTCCTTGGTGTGGATCCCTCCAGGAGATGGGCACGGATGCAGTACAGTCCTAGAGGACAGTATGGCGAAAGTGTGTGGGGGGACAGTTTAGTTCTTTCATCCCATCCTGCTGGCAGCTGTTCCCACTCCATGCTCTTGCCCCTGCCAGCTGGGCTCCATAGGACTCCCTGTTCTCCAGCACATCTCCTATGGTTCTGTCTGTCGTTGCTTCTGTATGTGTGTAGATGCCTTACAGCACGGGGGTTGTCCCTGTGCAGGTGTCACTCGGCTGCCTGTGCAATCTGGGGAAAACAGACAAGATGTGGCCACTTTTGGAGCAGAAAGTGAACGCAGTCCGCTGTGACCTGCTCTTCACTGAGGACATCAATCGAAGGATGCGGGTCCCCAACAGACTCACCGTGGCAAACAGCTTCAGCCCTGTGGATGAGGAGCCCATGTCTGAAGGTGTATCCCCTTCCTTTCCAATACATATCCCTGTCAGGATTTCACTTGCAGGTAATGTGCTGGGTTTTTTGGGGTGCCTGAAGTTTGGCAGGGCTCTGTAACATTGTAGGGAGAACTGTTTTCTGAAGCACTCAGACGTTTGATTTGCAAGAGAGGAAGGAGTCAGATACTATAGTCATCTTTCTCCTGGAAAGTAGTGTGGGAAGGTGGAGAGATGCCTAAGGATGAAAGGTGGACAAAGATGGCTAGCAGAAAGCAGGAGGGGCCTTTGATACAAAATGTGAGGAGTGAAATCTGGAGGCATCTCCTTCCATGTCTTCCAGTTTATTCTCAGTTTTGGGGATGCTGAAACATATGGCCCTGCTCTTTGACAAGCTGTTCCCAAACCTTGCTTTCCTGGAGTGGTACATCCAATTGATTTCCATTCCACACCTCTCCAGGCTCTCTAATTGCTCACATCTGCAGAATGTGGCTTTTGATGTACATCCATTAACAGTGGACACAGGGCTGGCAGCCCTGTATGAGAGAATCTCTCTTCCCTGCTGCCCTGAGAACAGCGGGGCACATTCAGGTGTTTCATTCTTCCCTCTCTCTTTTCTGTGGAAACATCAGATGCAGATCTGAGACCCATCCTGCTGGACCAGCAGAGGAATGTCCCCTGCGCTGAGGTGTGCGTGTCCCCAGACTCCTCGGCTCAGCACTCTGCATCGGGGGAGCTTCCTTTTATGCACATGGCTGGCAGATCAAGTGCCCAGAATCGCAGACGACTGGTACTGTAACGAGGGTGGGTGGGCGTGCATGTGTTGGCAAAGGGAGCACATCCACTGTGTTTGCTTTGCTCTGGAGGTCCAGGATCATCTTACTGGGCTGGGGCTTGAGAAATGCCCCCACCAGTGACGGCTTTTCATGGGGCACAGGGCTGGCTCTGCCTAAATTGAGCATGGTGGTGATGGGTTGATGGTTGGACTGGATGATCTTAGTGGTCTTTTCCAACCTTTATGATTCATTGCCTCTAATGCATCTGTGTTTGATCCCAACAGGGCCACCACAGCGGCAGGTCACGGCGGCAGAGCCAGCACAGCAGTGGGTCACGGCGGTCCCCAAGTGACAGCACCCAGCTGGCCTTGCCCAGCCCAGCCCTGCACCATGAGCGGTGAGCATGCACCTGGAATGGTGCTGGGTGGGTAGGGACCGGCATCCATGGGGTCTTTGGAGCTTTGTGTTGGTGCCCCAAGATGGGGGGGAATCCAAATCAGGGCTAGCTCTAGTCTTGCATGAAGCTAGTTAAGAGGAAAGTGTCCTTTGGTGTCAGTAGGGAGAGGTTTGCTGCCACCTGAGGCACATGGGACAGCGTGTCCCCACTTGGAGCTTGGTGGCAGCGCTGTGGGTCCTTGCCTGGCTGTTGGGTTTGCAGCCAGGGTGAGCAAAGAGCACGTGTGCTTTTTGTGAACAGTAGTGTGATTGACATCATGGTCTTTCTCTCCAGTGAAGAAAATCATTGAGCTTAATTCCAGAGCAGAGCCATCTTCTGCCTAGAAGAAAGCCTGTCCTGGGCTGGCAGAAAGGTGTGGTCGTCACACTGTCATTGCTGCCTCTGGAGGATCTAAGTGACTGAACCTGGGCTGCTGGAGGAACTCCTCTCACCCAGAGACACAGAGGTCTGGGTGTTGATGGCATCACCCTGTGATGCTCGGAGCTGCAGGAGGAACATGGGGCCTGTGATTGTGCTGTGCGAGGCCAGGCAGTAACCACTGTGGTTCTGTGTGCATCCCAGGCTGGACACCTGCCCCCCACCTGCTCACAGTGCTCCACTTCCTCTCCTTGCCAGGACGGGCAGGATCTACTCCATGCAGAACATCTTCCAGACCATGTACCTGCTGGGCCAGGTGCTCTTCCACCGTGTCCAGAACTCTCTGCAAGACTCAGTGTCATCCAGGTGACGCTGGCTTATCCTGAGCCACCTCCCTGCTGCTCTACATAGGCCTAGCTTTGCCTTGCCGAGGCAGGAGCCAGCCCTGAGCTTTCTAACCTCACAGGACATGGCTGCTCCAGCCCCTTCTTCTTACCTATCCTGCCAGCTCTGGGTGCCTCCTGCTTGTTTTTGTGCCACTCAAGGGACCTAACATCTCCTGGGACACAGCTGCTCCTCAGTGCTACTCTTTCTGCATGCCTTGATAGCTTCATGGAGGGAAATGTGGGCAGGGAATCAAAACCCAGCACAGATGGCCCTGTCACCAAGACACTTCTCCCATGTCCTCACAACATGCATGACAATCTCTTGGTTGCTCTTCAGTAACCTTTTCCTCTACAATCCTGTGTTGGAAGGGATCCATAAAAATCATCTAATCCAAATTCTGCCTCCACACGGAAGCACCTAAAAATCACAGAATCACCAAGGTTGAATTGTGAGAATACTTCTGATTCTCCTTGGGCGAAACCTCCAGGCAGATGGGGAGGAGGGGGAGGATCCATCATCCATGCCACCCTGGCACATGGTACCTTTCTTCCCGGGCTGGAGCAGGGCTGCAGGCAGCAGTTTCACTCTGGGCAGTTCCAGGTGATGACCAGCACACTGCTTAAAAGCAGGGACATCTTCAAATGTGGTTTTGTTTTTTTTTTTAAGCTTCTAAAACTTTGGTTATTGCACACATGGACCTCCTCCTGTCTGACGTGGAGGAGTTTTAGCTGTGACACTGTGGAGGAAGGAACTTAGAGAGTGGGGTGAGTCCTGAGCTCTTCCCAGCTCTCCATCTCCCTTAGGAGCCAAGCAACTTGGAAGGCCTTTTCTTGGTACTTTGCATCATTTCAAATGCATGCATTCTTTCGTGCTCCCCACAACAATAAAAAAGTGACTGAGCTCACTTGTTTATCCTGAAATTTTAATGAAGAAAGCTCTGGCCTCAGAGAGAGGATGGATTATTTCCATGGCAGTGACCTCTTGAGAAGTATGAGTCATCAGAGGTAATTTCTGTTCTCTACTCTAAAGGGTGTTCACTTGTGTCAGTGGGAATTTTTCAAGTAAAAGCTGCAGGAAATGTCCAATTTTAATGGCTTTGTACTTGGTAAAATTGGATATTCTTTCTGTTGTGACTTTCATATTTACCACAGCTGCATTACATGGATGCATTGTCTCATGAGTGTCTTTTCAGGCCAATTCCTTGAATGTCATGAGTGAGTTCCTCAGAAGAACTCATTCAACCCGGTTAACCCATAACGTGTCAGTGAGGGCCTGTGGCAAAACATGGACTGGTTTGAGTTGGAAAGGACCCTTAAAGGCCATCAGATCCAACTCCCCTGCAATGAGCAGCGGCATCTACAGCTCCACCAGGTGGTCTGAGCCCAGTCCAGCCTGACCTCGAGTGTCTCCAGGGATGGAGCATCCACCATGTTGGTGTGTACAGTAGAACTATGGATTACAGATGAGTTGATGGAGTGCTACCCTATAATGATGGGAACAACAGATGAACATGGCAACTCTAATTTCTCAGCATGGATCTATTGTGGCTTTGTGCTGTGAGCCCTGGAGCAAGGTTGTATCTGCAGGAGATGCTCATCCATGGCCTCTGTCCCTTTGTTTTCAGGGAAGGAGGGAAGCGATGCATGGTTGGAATCCTTGTTTATGCTTCTGGTTGCAAATAACATTTGCTGTGAGGGCAAAAAATGCCTTTTGTGAGGGAAGTATTGGAGCAGACCAAATCCTGGTGCCAGCAAACCCAGGCAGGCTGGCACATGGTCAGATATGTACCCCCCAATAGTAGCTGCTTCCTACCCACTGGGTCATCTCTTGCTGGGTAAATACCATCTCTCCATTTGGGCACTGGCTGTGGGATTTCTGTTTGCCTGACCTGCTCTAATGATGGCTTATCCAATCCTCAGTGGATTCCTCTGGCTGTAGGAAATGGACTCTGGGTAAATATGTTTTCTGTCTGTTGGGTCTCTAAAGAAACATAAGCATGTGGCTTTCCTGTTGCCCGTTGTAGCTTTTGTTGAGTGCTTTGTTGTGATCACTGCGGGCTGCATGGTGGAGGTATAAGCATGATGGGGGTATGAAGAAGTTGGTAGATGCTGTGGGAGTGCTGCTTCCTCTCTCCCGATGCTGCATGCTGACAGCACGACCTGGGTGTGCACACATTGCTGCATGGTTGGGCTCTCCATGGCAGTGCCATGTTTACAGGAAGGTAACTGCAGCTCCTGAACAGTGTGCATCTCTGTTTTCCTCCCACAGCTCCCAGGAGGTTGGAGCAGCCCCGGAGGAGGTCATCGCTGCTGAGGCTGCAGCAATGAAAAAGGAGGTGAGAGGAGAGTAGGGGCTGCAGTGGTTCCTGGGAAAGCTGCAGGCGGGTGGCTGAGGATGCTCCAGGGCTTGTTGCTAGGGCCTGGTTTGCTGGCACTGCCAACTAGCCCTGGGTGGTGCTCCTCACGCTGCTCTCCTTGCAGCTGGCGAGGATCTCGGAGCGGCTGTGTGTGCTGGAGGAGCAGCACAAAGCCTGGCGGAAAGAGGAGCCCCTGGTGTACTCCATGCTGCTCTCTGCCTGCCTCGTCAACACCTGGCTCTGGCTGTGGAGATGACTGTGTGCCTTGGGCTCCCTGACCCACCCTGGGCGAGAGCAGAGAAAGGATTCTTGCTCACGTATTGTGGAGGGTAAAACTGTGTTTCTTCTGAACTTGACCTGAATTGGAACCATAAAGCTGGACCTGGCCACAGCAGCTGGAGATGGATGACAGGGAGTGGTGGGGTGGGACAGGGAGCATGGTCCACTGTGTATAGACCCAGGGCTGGGCTGTGTTTGGTGTATGGTAGCAACTCTGTGGTGTGTTCTATGGGGTCAATCGTCATGTGAGAAGCTGCTGTGAAAAGCCAAGCCTCATAAGAAATCTGTAATGACACAGGAGGTATTTGTCCTGCACAGATCAATGAGAGAGCTTCTGCCCCTTGGGCTGTGTATTGGAGGAGGCACAAACCCAAATGTTAGGTCTCTGTGGGCATCAGGTCCTGTTACAGTCTCTGGCCATGGGTTGAGCTGGTCCCCTGCCTGCGTCACAGCTTGGACATCTTAGTTCTACCTCCATAAAATTTCTCAGCCAATTCATAGAACCATAGAATGGCTTGGATTGGAGGGGAACTTCCAGCCCACCCAGTCCCAACCGCTGCCATGGGCTCAGGCTGCCCAGGACCCCATCCCACCTGGCCTTGAGCACCTCCAGGCAAGGGACACCCACAGCTCTCTGGGCAGCTGTGCCAGTGACAGTTACTGTGGTCTCTTCTTCAACTTCCACCCCAAAAGCTTGTGCAGAGTGTTTGGGTGCTTTTGAACTGCTGCTAGGTTTTCTTTTCTTCCTTGAGCAACTGTGTGAGTTGTCCTGTGCCAGGGCGACCCCTGCTCCAGGAGAGGGGTGGGCCTGGAGGAGCTGGGGGCTGCCATCCGCAGGAGAGTTGGACTGGATGACCTTTAAAGGTCCCTTCCAACTCAAACAATTCTATGATTCTATGATCTATGGCCTCTGCTGTGGCATCACTTCCTTGGCTGCTGTCGTGCTGGAGGCTCTCGGCAGTGGGTTTGCAAGTGCTCAGATCCCAGGTGGCTGTAAGAGCATTGCTGAGCTCTATAGAGACTCTGGACTTATCCAGGAGCTTGGCTTTCTCCCAGGGAGATGTACATGGGAAACCTCCCCGGGGTAATCGTAAGACCTTGTAATAACAGTGCAGGCACCAGACAGGCCATGGACAGTTGCCCATTTGGGCAGCAGTGGGTATCTGTGAGATCGCCAGTGCCAGAGGGCAGGATCACTCCCAGTCTGCTGCCAAGTTGTAACTTCAGCGTTGTACAACTGCACAGGTGAGGGGAATCCTTGGCTCAGGTGCCAAAAACCAAGCCCAGTTCAACAGCTCTGCTGTTTCTTTCCTTCCTTGACGTTTAGGAACACTTGGATTCACAGTGAACTGAGATTCTCGTAGTGGTTCATCCAATGCATCTGCTGAAGTGGTGCCTGCAGGCCTGGGGCAGGTGTTGGCAATAGGACCTCTCTGTTCCACCTATAAATGATTGTAGCTGGATCTGCAAATCACCCAGATGTCTCAATGGCTTATTTACAGACATGGATGCTTAGCTGTTCCCTGCCTGCCACTACATCAAGCCTCTATGGCTGTAAATCTGGCAGCTGGACATCTACTAATAAATAACTGTCCCACAAGTAATTGCAGGTCTGAACCTGTGGCTGATGTCTGGGTTGAGGACAGCACTGGGATTTACTGCAGGTGAGAGCAGGAAGGGGGTCTGTGCTTCAGCAGTGTGTGTGTAAGGGATGGCAGCAGGGCTCCTGGCTTGGCTCGGGGATGTGGACAGGCTGGAAATACATGGAAGTGGGTGATCAGATGGGATGTGTTCCTGAAGGCTAATTATTGGCAAGTTGCATTGGGTAGAAGGTGACTTTTTTTGTCCTGATTTCAGCTGGGACAGAGTTGAATTTTTCCTTCATAGTGCCTGGCATGGTGCTGCATTTTGGGTTTGGGCTGATAACACACCGATGTTTGGCTGTTGCTGAGCAGTGCTGCAACCACCAAGGATCCTTCAGTCTTCAGCTTCTGGCACTGTGCTGCCAGTGAGGGGCTGGGGGTCACATGGAGATGGGATGGAGTGAGGACAGCTGACCTGAACTGCCCACAGGGTGTTCCATGCCACGTGGCATCATGCAGAAAGCCTTGGCAGTGGTGGGGAGCTGGTGGAGCAGCTGCTGCTTGGGGACTGGTGGGCATTGGTAGGTGGGTGGTCAGCAATTGCATTGTGCATCACTTACTTTGTAAATATATGTTATTATCATTACTATTTTCCTTTTCTCTTCCTTTTCTGTCAGTAACTAGCTTTAACCTCCACCTATGACTTCTACTTTGCTTTCTTTCCCCTGATTCTCTCCCCCCTCTCACTGAGGGGAGGTTTGAGCAAAGGGCTGTGTGGTGCTGAGCTGCTGCTGGGTCAAATCCCAGTCCTATGCCTCAGGCTCAAGTCCTTCTTTAAATCTAGAAACACTGACCCATGAAGTGCATGTTTTAATAAACTCTGTGTGTGCTGGATGTGTCTCCTGTGTCACCGAATCCTGGTTTGGGGTGGCTGAGGTTTTCCCCCTTGGCAGCAGGATGCTGCCCTGCTCCTAGGTGCATCTGCAGCTTTCCTCCTTTGTTGTCCCAGGAAGGTACGTGTGGGAGAGCTGGGTGTCCCCTGGGGGAGGCTGCCACAACAACATGCTTAGAAAAAGAGGCAGCTCGTGCAATCTGACACTGGAGGGAGGTGCACCAAAGGGACAGAAGCAGCGAGGCTCCTGGAGCTCCCACATTTTTGGAGGGGGCTGCAGGCAGGGAGCAAAAGGAGAGGTGGGAAGGGAGACGAGCTGCTGCCACTGCTTCTGGCCTGTCGCTGGTTCTGTGGCATGGGGACAAGGGAAGGCGGTGTGTCCCTCCAGTGCTGCTAACCAAGGCTGCAGAAGTTCCACATCTATTCAAGCTCACTGCTGCCAAGATTTTCAGTGAGGTAGAGAATGAGGCTTTGAAGGAAGAAAAGGTCAAGTTTTGGTGCTGAATGGACCCTGGATGCTGGTGCTCTCAGATCACACTTGCACAGTGTGCTTGAATCTGCGCCCATGGAAAGGACTGACCCAGCTTCAGTCGCTGCATGCAGTTGGATGTGAGTAGGAAAGAATGAAAGTTAGCCCATTCCTTATAGTCTTGGGGATGCAAGCGCTCTGCCAGCTGATTGTCAGCGTGGCTCTGTGTGCAAAACAACAAGGCAGACACCAGTGACAGGCTCAATTCTTGATCATCATCAAACTCTGCAGCTCTCTTCTCTGGGATTCCTGAGAAGCAAATGCGGCTTCCTGCTGCCTGAGAACAGGTAACTGGATGGAGAGGAGGGAGGGTCGGTGGGGAAAAAGGGGATGTGTGGGAGGGAGCAGTGTCCCTCCTCCCCTTTGATCTCTGGCTACAAAGCTGCTGTGGCCGACTACTCTGACGCACGCTGTGCTGCTTGGCGCGTCGAGGGAGCCCAGGGGCCAGGAGTGTGCAGCAGTGAAGGGACACACACACTGTGCATCACCTGTCCTGGGCACTGTGGGGACCCCTCTGCAGCCACGTGGCTGTGGTGTTTGCTGAGTCTCCTATGAGGAGATGCCCCCTGCCGACCCCTGCTAGCTTGCTGGAGGCCTCGAGGGACGTCAGGCTCGTAAGTGGGCAGTTTTGGCATCTTGGTGGTGGCTCTGTCACTGTGGGGAGGTGGCTGGGTTTGTGGGCAGCTCTGCGTGTGTGGTCCCAGACCTCCACAATGTGTGTGCATAATAGTGATGTGGACAGGGCTGTGCAAGGCATTACCCCTGACCATGCAGTTCATTATCAGTGGGATTTGCTGTGGGAGAGCACTGGTGAGCTGTCCCCAGGAGACTGCTTTGCCCATGTGCCCATGGCTGCAGGGATGTGGAGGGGCTCAATGGGCGGGCTGCTCAAATGCAAGCTTGTACATGCTAAGCCCATCTTGTGCTGCTGTGTGTACAGCATCTCCGCCCTCGGTGGCTCTCCCATCCCTCGTGGGGACTGTTTTCTCACCCTTGGGCTGTAGGAGAGCTGCAGCTCATCACTAGGGCACAGGGCTACAGATGCTGTTGCCCTGGCAATGGCTGAGGAGCCCAGGTGGTGGGGAGAACATCTTTCATGGGCAGATGTAGGGCCTCCTGGGGAGAGTACAATGCCTCATAGGGCTCTGCAGTGAGAGCTAAATGGAAAACACGGGGTGGGCACATGCCTTAGGCTTTGCCTCTTTTTCCTCTGGTGCTGTACCATAACTCAGTGCTCACACCATACACTGCCTCCTGCTCCCTGAGCTCCTGCTCTTTGCCCTTCCTAGGTCCCTGGCGCAGCTCACTGGAAGGATGATGGCAAGGAGTAACGGCCTGCAGCTGCCTGGCCCCTGCCCACCCCTACCAACCAGAGCCAGGACTGATGCACAGAGCACAGGGCTTGGCACGAGCAGGTCAGGATGGCTCAGGAGAGGGTGGCATTGGTGGGGCAGGGCTGAGTCTCAGGGCCCAGTGGCACACCCCAGCTGTCCGCTTCCCCTGGTTCACCCAGCAGGAGTGGTGGCATTGAGATGTGCAGTGATGCCATTGCCCTTCCTTCTCCCCACTGCAGGACCTACTCGACCCAAGATGAGACCTTGGAGCTGCACAGAGGAACTCTTGCATATGGGGAGGAGCAGCCAGCTGCCCCTCCTTTCCAAGGCAGACGAGCCCTGGCCAGGTAGCGGTTTGGGGGCAGGCTGCAGGGCAGGGTCGGGTCCTATGCATTTCCAGAGCATGGAAGGAAGCTGGAGAGCTGTTGCTTAGGCTCTTGTCTGAACCTTTTGTGCCTGGCTTTGACCTGGCTTTTGTCACAAAAGTTTGCTTTCTCCTCGCTGTGTGGGCAGCTCCCGACTTTGCCTCTTTCCCCCATTTAGGATTGTCAGGCTTGTGCTGGTGCTGCGGGACTGGGCCAGCAAGAGCTTGCAGGAGGAGCAGCAGAGGCCAGACCCCTTCCTTGAACGCTTCCAGGGCCCTGAGCTGCAGACAGTGCCTGCTGATGCCAGCAGTGATCCAGAGGATGAGGAGGCCGAGGAGAAAACCAAAAAGTAGGACCCTTACCTGTGACACAGCCTCCCTGGGCTGAAGACTGGCCACATGCGATGCTGTGTAGGCAGTGATGGGGGAGGGCCAGGTGTCCCACGGGCAGTGGGCTCAGCTCTGCCCAGGGGCAGGGGGTGGCAGCAGCGGGAGGGCTCCGCTGTGCTCTGCTGGCACCTGAGCCAAGATGGGTCTGCAGCTGTGCATGTGAGGAGCAAGGGACACGGAGAGTCCACGCTGGATGCCGAGGCAAGCACAAACCAGTGGGCTCCTCCAGCCTCATTCATCATTGCAGGAGGAAGGGAGACAGAGAGAGTGCGTTTGCTGCCCGTCTCCCCGCCTCCGAGGTCAGACACCATGACGGCAGCTTTCTGAAAAGGCTCATTCAGACCCAGTGCTTTCATCTCCTCAGCTTGCACTGCCGCTGAAAAGCAATAACCTGGCTTTTCTTCTGCCGGCTAATTAAGGGGCAAAGCTCACGGACTAGTCTGGACCCTACCATTGTACACGGTAATTAAAACACCAAGAAATGATCCTTTTCTATTGGAGGCAGGTATCTGAGCCTTGTATCAGGGCTGTTGCTAGTCACGGAAAAAAAGTGCTCTGCCCTGCGAGGTGAAAAGGAGCTTGTTAATTACTGGAGGGAGAGGAGCTGATGTGTGCTGAGAAGGCTGCTCCGTGCCTACGGCTCCCTGGGAAAAGCTGCACCCTGCAAGGTATCTGCAGGGGATGGGACAGTAGAGCTTAGTGCTGTCACCCTACAGCCTGAAAATCCCTGCTGAAGGGATAGGATAAAGGTCCCTGGGCTGGGTGTGTGTGTGTGTGTGTGTGCGCGTGCATTTGGTGCTGCCCCACAGACTGCAGAAGGGAGACTATCACAGCTCTCCTGGGGAGGTGGTGGCATTGGTGACTTAAAGCTGAAACTACCACCATGATTATCATTGCTATTAAGGTGATTAGTACTTGTGATACAGTATTACAGCAGTGCTGGCTGGTTGCAGGTGAGTTGGTGTTTCCCAGATGCCAGTTACCTTATGTCTCAGAGAGCAAGAGGTCCCTTTCTCAGAAAATATTTAAGCTGCACATCAATCCTGTCCTGAGCAAAACATAACTGTTTACTCTTGTAATGTGGGGAGAATCACATGGATGTCCAGGGTTGCACCCAGAGGGAGAGTGAAGGAGCACTGCTGGCCCTGCTCTGAGCTCCATTCCCACCTGGCACACCACTGATGGAGGCTTCAAGGCACAAGTCTGCTTTTGAAGCTGTCGGAAGCAGCGGGGTGAGCACAGAGAATGTGCTGGCAAGTGGGTTGTTTTTCCTATTGCTGGAGGAGCTTTGCACATTCCAGAGCTGGAAGGGAGGCGAGGATGCAGGGGGAGATGTTTTGCCCTAGCAGGTGGTGGTGGCTGAGCCTATCAGTCCAGCTGCAGAGTTCCTGTTCCCCAGCTCCTTCAGTGAGATCTGGCCATGGGAGCACATGCATCTTATCTCAGAACCCCAAGATGAGCAGGATCAAATGATTGGGAGCAGTTCAAAGGCTGGACAGAGGGCTGAGCAGGCAGGCAGGCGGTGTGGGATGGCAGCTCTGTGATGCCAGCCGCTGCTCTGGGGCTTGGGCAGCCCCATGGTGCTCCCTCTGGTGCGCAGCAAGCTTTCCTTCCTGCTCTAATTAATCGTCTTCTCTCAGATCTGTCTGGCTCCAATCCATGCCTCATTTAGGAGAGGCAAGGTCATCTAACAGAAGTTTTCTGGTCACCCTCATCCGTACATCTGTTTCTGGCTCTGCCTCTGCGGCTCACGGAGGCCACCTGCTCTGCCTTGCCATGCTGTAGTTTCTCTTCTGCTATGCTAATGAACGTTACTTTGGGGATAAAGGAAGTTAAACAATGTGGGACATTTTTACTTATCACTCCTGGGACTGGATTTAGCCTACAGACTGGCAGTCAAGCTGCAGCTGTTTGATCCAGGCTAGTGCAAAGGATGAAGGGGATGACGCTGCTGGTTCCTTCCAACCCTAATTTCTACGTTTAGTCCTTTATTCACGCATTGCCAGCTCTGGCCTCTCTCTGCTTCCAGGAAGAAATGGCAGTCCTTTGTGGTGGACCCTGCAGGGGACTGGTATTACCGCTGGCTGGGCGTCATTGCTGTTCCTGTTCTCTACAACTGGTGCTTGCTTGTGGCCAGGTGAGCTGGGATGTTGCAGGGCTCCTGTCTCCTCTAGCCCTCATCTTCACCTCCTTGTTGTGGCTCAGGTGAGGCTCAGACAGCTGGTGCTGATGACTGTGGGGCGGTGGGAAGCTAAAGGAAAGAATCAGCCTATATTCGACTGGGAGAGAGATTTGTTGGTCTCACTGCCTCATCCTGCAGGGCTTGCTTCAGTGACCTGCAGAAGACTTATGTTGTCCTCTGGCTGGTGCTAGATTACATCTCAG